AGTGAAAGCAACGGCCTCCTTTGTTCCGTCTGCTGGCAGCAGATCCAGCACAGAGGCCGGTACCATTACCACCCTTAATTTTGCAAGTGGTGGTACCGATCGCCTTCACGGCAAAGTTGTAGATTTAGGCTTGTACAGTTATAGGGTTGTGTGGAGGCTCGAAGTATGGACAGGGCCCTGAACGGACAGTGGAGAAGCAGCTCATGCACCTACCCAGGCACAGAGAGGAGGGCATCAGATCGAACCGGTAGACCATTTAAAGTACCCAGGTGCCCAGCCCCCCCCCCCCCTCCCCCCCTTCCCCCTGGACACTGTGTGCACCACGAGAGAGCCATCACACCACCCCATAGAACACCCATACAGACTGAACTTCCGTCCTTACCCAGCCCTAAGATGTGACTGCGCCGGGGTCCAATCGAAAGGGACCTTGCAAGAGCGGGCGCTAGTTCAAGACCATTGTAGCCTACTTGCAGCTTGCGCCACAAGTGTTCACCTGAGATGGGCCAGCCTCGAACCCGCAACCTGCATTTTACAATGCAGGCGCCCCCCAGTGTATTCTGCGCAGGTGGGGAGTTTTACAATGCAGGCTCCTAACAATTGCTAGATGCAAATGGCCACTACGTTGGTGGACGCCTCCCAGTGTGTTCTGCGCAGGCGTGGAGTTTTGAACTCGCAGCCTTAGACCACAAAGCACATTTCGAACCGGTGCCCTAACCGCTAGGCAATTGGGCATCGGGTGTACTAGTGGTTTAAAAGGGCCATGGCCTTGAGATATCATTGAACTGACGGGGCCCAGGTAATTTGGGATGATTTTATTCTGTTCGTCGGATTGGGGGTCTGGATTCCAGCTCAGATCTGTATTTCAACAGCTCATGGGTGTACCAACTGAGATACATTCCTTGATGTCTCAGTATTTTCTTTGGCTGCAGAAGGGCATTCTCGCAGAGGCTTTTTCTCCATTTTGGCTCGGAGAAAGATCTGAACCTGGAACACGAAAGCACTATGATTGCGGCAGTAGCGAGGACAAGAATGCTGTTAAACGGCCAGTACTTTTGACCCTTCGCTTGCCGAGCCTGGAAACGTCCTGCAAACCAAAAAAAAAATGATATGGCATGGGGCTTCTTTTGGCTGGTTTGGCTGGTGCCACCGACCATTTTGCTCCGGTACGCCAACCCCTGAAACTTGCGGCACATGTGGCCCCATTGGTGGTTTGATAAACCTATGGGGGAAGAGCTCCAACTTGACTCGCATTGTTCCTTCCAATCTGTAGATAGAAAGGATGAACAGTGGGTGGGACACCCAGAATCCGGTACGCTGACCCTGAAGAGCTCCGGTACGCCGACCCTGAATTCCCGCATATTGCGGTGAACTCACACTAGGAATTTCCCAGATGTATCTGAGTGTAATTACAGTCAACCGCTGGCATATCTGCCCGTAATTACGTCCACAGCTCAGGCAAAAAACTCCTAGAGTGAGTATGGCCTTCATCCCTCCAAATCGATGGGCGCTCCCACATATTCTTCCCTCAGAATCAGCAGGAATTCCATCAGATTGCCCTTTGTGAACCGTAGAGTAGATTGGGGTCGGGCGGCGGATTGAAAAATAATGCGGTTTAACTTGGACCTGGCCTACAGATAGTCCCACAGTAGATCTGAGAGTGGGACCTGGCCTACCAGGAGAACTCCTGACAGGTGTAGGCCCATGGGGCCTACTACTGGTAGACACAGTGGGACCTGGCCGACCGATAGTCCCACAATAGCCCTGAGAGTGCAATCTGAGGCCTATGAGGACCACTACTCGTAGGCATAGGTCTAGGACTTGGCCCAGACGTAGCCTCATTCCCAGAGTCAGGAATGTGAGATCCTTAGCCTATCCTGGACTCGTGCTCGGTGGTGATCTCCATCCGTTTCCCCTTTTTTATCCCTTTCTTTATAAATGTAATGTTATGATCCTGCCCAATTTCCAAGCGAATGCTCAAAGGAAAGACAGCCAAATTGACGAACGACAAGAGAAATGAAAGAACTTGAAAGGGAAAGAGACTAAAAGTGAAGAAGAATAAGAAGGAGAAGAAGGAGAAGAAGGAGAATAAGATATACGCCAGTGTAACCAATGTCAATTCCCCCTCTTCTTCCAACATCTCCAACTTCGCCAATCTCCCCAACAACCTCAATTCAATAAATAATAATAATGACAATGAAAGAACATGCCCAGTTAGGCAATGTGTATGGAGCCAAGGATCCGCAATGTGATGAAAAGGACTGAAATGGACAATGCAATGTCAGTGAAGCATCAACAAGCAATGTGCATCCCGATACATACAAAATGGCACAAAGTAGCGCAGTGGAAGTCTTAAAGATAAGACCTGACCTGACTAGGACTGACGCAACATCCCGCCATACACCACACATGTGAGTGGAGGAGGGACCGCATACATAGAAGAAGGATCCCTCCTTGTACACACACATGGGGGAGATACAATGGATGAGAGATGGGGGGAGAGGCGAGATGAAGATGGAGGAGAGGGAGAAGACCAAGATCGCAGTAGCGAAGTCCAAAAATAGTCCCTTGCCGAATTTCCAATCAATTTCTGCCTCAAAAATGTCGGATCAGATCCTGGGCGCTATGCCCGAAGTAACCGCTGCCTGTAATCTCTCACTCTCTCTCTGGCGAAGAAGAACAAGAAGAAGACGATGACGACGACAAAGAAGAAGAAGAAGAAGAAGAAGAAGAAGAAGAAGAGGAAAGGAGGAGGAGGAAGGAGGAAGGAGGGAGACGAGAGGGAGACTAGACGAAGGAGAAGAATATGTCGTCCTCCTCGCTGTCTCACCTGCAGGTAAGTGCCGCCAGTGCTGCTCGTCGCTTGTCGTCCTCGTGTGCAGGTCGGCGCGCGCGGAGCCCAGCTATGGCGCCAGGTCTGCTACTGCAGGTATGGCCTCTGCCGCTCTTCCTTCCCATCCTCTAACTCTAACCTCTCAGCGCAGCGCTGAACCAGCAGCGTGTCGCTCAAGAAGTGAGCTACCCGAACTGTCTATCTATAGCGCTGGGCCGGCTGGTCTGCCTACCGTGAGCCTACCTGTGTAGCCTCAACGTGTGCCCAAAACCTGGGCCTACAGGGTCTGAGTCCCGACCGGACGTCCAGACCCTGTACCTGGACCCGTGCGGGCCGTCTACCGATGTACCCAGCCCAAGGCACTGCCTTGGGGGCTGCAGGTCCGAAATGACGTCTGAACGGTCAAAAATAGGACAGCAAATAAATAAATAAATAAATAAATAAATAATCAAATGCTGCCTTGCAGCTGTACGTGCGGCCTGAGGGCCGCTGTGGGCCTCCAGGGCGCGTGTCCGATGGGCACGCGGCCTGGGGCCCCCTCAGCAACCGTCGGGCCCCTCAAATGGGGCCCGTGTGCAGGCGCAGCATGTAACAACGAATGAGCAAGGACCAATGTCCGGTTCCTCTTCTTACTGCTGAAAGCACATGAGGTCCGCAACAGCCATGGCCTCCATCTTCTTCCACCTAATTGAGGTGGTTGGCTGTGGCGGACTACAACATCTTACTCCGGATGTTCCCAGGACAACTCAAGACTTACGAGTCTCTTCCATCATGGCCGCCATGTCCTACAGTACTACTGAGTGTCCCTGGTGCAGTGCCTCCCCAACTGGGGTCTTCTTGAAGCAGTGCCCTCTAGAAGATGAAGATGCCAACCTCCATAGCCAGGTAAGAGCCCGGTCACTCTCCCCCATAGCCTCCTCCTTCCTCCTCCTCCTACCCCGGACGCTCGACCATAGTCAGGGTGGGAGCTCCCGGTCTCCTTCCTCCAGCACTAGCGCAGCTCCACCCAGCACTCCAGCAGCCTAACACCCGACTGCTTTCCTGAAAAATAAGGCGGAGCAATGAGTGCTCCCCCAATGTATACCGGCTGGAATTTCCTTGGGTGGTGACTTCCTGGCCTCTCGGCCTCCCCAAGCTACCAGTACCTCTCCGAAACGGTGGGAAACATCATTGCAGACTTGATATGTATTCTGCAGGTCCTAGACCCAGCTACCGGACTTTTAATACTCAACGTTAGTCCTAAAGGTACCAACTTTTGTCTTCTTCTGCTCAGCCTACTGCTACTTGAATGTTTTTTTTCTTTTTTTTCTTTTTTTTACTGCTACTTGAGTGTTACTGCCCTAGCCTTCTGCTACTTGAATGTGCCCTAAGCTATCCCTTGGCCACTCCTCAGCGACTTGAGTGCTTTCCGCTGCAGCCCTCACAACCACGGGGACAGGTAAGTACCAGGCCCGTGGGCCTCTCCTAGCACACAAGTACCCAGGCAGGTCACACACACACACTCAATACTCAGACATTCAGACAGAGACGCAGAAACCAGCAAGCACACACACAAATACAGACTTAGAAACCACAGCAGAAAGCGGGAATCTCAGCAAAGCACTCATTCCAGCGGCATAACTCAGAAAACAGCATGATTCTCAGTCTGAGATTTTGCAGGTCATTGCAGTAACCTTATTAGGATTACGGTCTCGGTCATCTGTTTTGTATTTTGTTTTTTCCTAATGCGGAGTATGGCTTACACTGCGGGGGTGCAAGTAGTTGTCGAGAACTTCTCGAGTTGAGGTGGCCTTGGACTTTGAGGCGGGCAATTTCTTTTCGTTTGTTCTTACACTTGGATTTGATATTGAACGTACGGACAATGCCCTCTGGTGCATCTGTGGCGGTAGACGTCAAGTCGTGCTTGGTGTTCCCCTTAGCTAGTTTGATGGGCGTACCGATTCAATGCCCTCTGGTGCATCTGTGACAGTAGACTCAATGCCCTCTGGTGCATCTGTGACCGTAGACTCAATGGCCTCTGGTGCATCTGTGGCAGTAGACGTCAAGTCGTGCTTGGTGTTTCCCTTTATTATTGCAGCAGCAGAACTCTTGTTCTTGCACTTGGTATTGCATGCTTTGTTGCAAAGGGCCTTGGCATTGCTGATGTTTCTTGAACTGCTTGTTTCAACAGATAGAGTGGAAGTGGAATTGACTTGGTGGGAGAGGAGACAGTGTGGAATCTGGTGAGAGATTGCGGGAACACATTGGATGAGTGTGTTTCAACATGTGAGCGCTCTCTGGCCACTTCTGGAGTGCTGGCTGCGTGCGTGTGTGCGAGTGGAAGGGCGGTCAAAAGGATCAGGCTTGCTGGGATAATTGATGACACCATCCCCGCACAGCGCATGTTATGCAGTTTGGAAATGATGGCCACCTTGCGCGGATGTTTACCCTGTTGTGGCAGTATGATGGAAACGCAAGGTATGTGGGGTAACATTTCCCCCGTAACCAAAATTCGTCATCTGTTTCCTAACGTTTGTGTGACATTCAGCAGCATGAGACGCGTCTGCCTGTCATTCCCTCTTTCATCCTCCGCTCTTCTGCTTTTTCATTGTTTCAATCAGGTTCTTCTGCTTTTTAATTGTTTTTAATCAGGTTGTTTGAACTTGTTTCGTCATTGTTTCCTTCGCTGATCCCTTTTGCTCTATTGCTTTTTAATTGCTTTTAGTCAGGTTGTTTCGTCATTGTTTCCTTTGCTGATTCCCTTTGCTCTATCTTTGCCAGCAGTACATTGTACATTACTAGAAAAAACAAGTGCAATTGCACGTGCATGTTGTAATGACTTCCAACCTCAAATATTGAGGGGTTTGATGAGTTGGAATTAGGAGGATAAGGGAGGGAGTGTGGAGTTGCTCATGCAGAATGTGCTGGAATGGGTTGAAGCATGGAGGAGGAGAGGGGAAGCAGGAGGCAGAGGAGGAGAAATGTTTCGGCTGCCTCCTCACACGTTAAACAGTAGATCGTCTCCGGGAACTGAGCCGAAGACGAACGCGGCTGCTGCGAGTGGAAGCTCAGGGCCTAACTAAGATTCCATGTGGAAAGTAAGCCCACAGGAATTATGCTATAAAGAGGCCTCTAGTTCTTAAAGCACAAGTACACGGCCCCAGCCTTGCAGCAAAACATCTTGTCGCCACAAGATTGTTTTTGCGGCTAGGGCCTACCGGACCACAAGGGCTGGCGCCGCCAGCCAAAAAAGAAAAGAAGTGCCGCGCTGGCAGTTTGGAAAGTGCGCCGCTGGCGGTTCGGAAAAAGAGGCCCGGGTGTACTGGTGGTTTAAACCACCACTCCAACAGCCCCTACAGTTGTCTTTTTTTTTGTCTACAGGCACCGGGCCAAGATCTACAGTGCCCAGGCCCAGTAGAGGTTCGCTGGAGAAGGGTACACCAATTATTTCTGGCTTGGGGAAATGCAACTTTTGGTTTGTTAAAATAGGTCCGGATGGAATGGTGGTTTAAACCACCAGTACTTAGGCCCAGCTATTGATGCCCAGATGGGAAACGCCCTGTGCGCCAAGTTTTGCCGAGCCGCTGCCGCGTCGTTTCAGTTTCCTTTGGCTGGCGCATCCAGGCATTGTGGTCCGGTAGCCCGAACCCATCGGTCATGGCGTGTTAACAGGAAATGCCAGCGGCCGATGTATGGGCCAAGTACAGGTGGTTTAACAACCCACCTGACTGTATGGATAAACCAATTGTGTATTGGGGGGAAAAAGGAAAAGAAGCGATCCCAGCAGCGCTTACACTGTTCAAGATGTGAGCAGTTGTGGAGGAGCTTGCTCAGTGACTGATCCACACTCCGGAATGCAGATGATACTGGAAGAAGGCCAAAACCTTTTGGCTACTATCCCTCTTTACAACATCTGAACACACCTCTTCCTCCCCCCYCCCCCCCCTCCCCCTCCTCCCCCCTCCCCCCCCTTCCCCTCCTTCCCCCTCCCCTCCTCTCTCCCCTGCAGCCCTGAGGGCTCACCCAACTCTGCTCTGCCTTATCATCTTTTTCCTGGCACTCATGGTGGAGAAAGATTGGTTTGACTTTGAAATGATTTGGAAGGTCACGAATCACGATAAGGAGATATGATAGACAACCAGGGCCATGCATTTTAAAAATAACAGTTTGTATAGAGTCTTCTTCCAAAAACAAGTATACCAATCTGTACTCAAAAACTCTTTCCAGAATAAAGTTAAAATACAAGAAATCATTCAACTTATGAAAACTCAATCACCACTGATTGGAAGGCCATCAGATGAAGGATATGGCACAAAGAACCCACTCCCTTCCAGATGCTGGATCCAATCAATAATCTGTTGACTACCGTAGTCACCCGAATAGAACACCCGGTCATAATAGCTGTATTCGTTGCAATTTTCAGTCCAGATGCAGGTATAATGACGGGGTGTTCTATTCGGGCGACGACTGTAGGAGGCAGTCGAGCTGTTCGCCTTAGGGACTTCCCTTTCGAGTTAGTCGTTACGGGATCCCCATCGGGCTCTACTCTACGCTGTCAGCTCTTCCTTGTCGCCCAATGCTACCAATGATGAAGTGATTGTTCGAAGGCCTCCATAAGGAGAATACGTAACAAGCAACCCCCTCACACGCTACATCGCCCCCCCCCCCCCCCCCCCCCCCCCCCCCCCCCCCCCCCCTCCCCTCCTCCCTGCTACCCCCTTTTGGCCAATCTAGTTCTATCACTAGGTTATCAGCTCTCCCTTGTTGCCCATGGTTGGGAAAAATGGCCAACACAGTTCTGCTCTACGTTGTCAGCTCTCCCTCGTTATCCATAGGCGAGAAGAATTAGCTCGACTTTTGAAATGATATGGAAAACAATTGTCGTTTGGGACATATCTTAAATTTGGAATGATAAAGAGAAGATTAGCATGGCCCCCACGCATAAACCGAGAAATGGTTCAAAAAAAAAAAGAAAAAAGGATATGGAAAAAGATGCCCAAGAGCTACCAATGATGAGGTGGTTGTTAGGGAAAGTGCATTGAGAAATTGTAAGCATGGTCATCACAGCAGAGCTCTTGTTACAGCTCAGTACTGCTCCGAGCGGGTTCAAAGATGCATTGGGATATAAAGGAGGAGCTGAGGTCTGATCTCAACAAGGACGTGTTGGGGGAATCCAACACGGGAAGCGTCAGGCAATTGAATGGTGCCAAAATGGGACACTGGAACTGTAGGAGACAAAGATGCAAGGAAGGAGATTGGGGCTATGGTCTGCGCCGTACAGAGTGGATGGAAGCACTAGCAGGAGGGACCAGACGTGTGAGATGACAGAGGATTATGGACTGCAAGTTCCAGCAGAGGAAAGGGCAAAGGCAGACATGGGAAGGAGATGGGTCTTCCTTGCTAAAACAATAACAACCGGAGACAGAACCTTGTGTCGACAATGGATTGGAACGGGTTGGCTATACATTTCATGATGGCCGCCTGTGTTTCTTCTGTCCTGTGTTGTTGTGCCAAGAACCGCTGTCAATTGCAGAGAACAGTGAACACACAACTTTGCAGAATGTGCCAATATGACCCTTTCGTAATTCAGTGCAACAGACAATTTGCTTGCATTTTTTTTTGTTGACCTTTTAGGAAAGCTGATTGCGCCTGACTCAGATCTGTAGGCCTGCAGCATCAACTGATGCAGGTGTGAAAAGGAAGGTGGTGTTTTCTGCAGGGAATGACAGTGCTTGTTTCCAAAGCAAGGCAAAGAAAAGTGCCCATTTCCTCTTGAACTGTGTGGCAATGCTGACAGGGTTCTGGTGGTGCTAGCCATGCATCCTTCAGATTCAAAATGAGAAGAAGCACAGGATTGCACCTCGACTAATATAACCACCACTTCAGAAGTTCAGAAGTTCAGATCTCACCCATCCAACTGAGATGTGTTTCCCAGGCTGTGGGCAAGCGTGCTAGCATCTGAACTGTCCGTATGCCTTGCATGCAAGTCTGGTAGGGCCAGGCGGCACTGCTGCTGTGTTCATGACAAGAAAGCGCGAACCTACCTGGCTGGGGCTACAGCCAGGTTCTTGCTTTCCGGGCATGAACATAGCACCAATAGGGCCTGCTGCTTGTCCACCAGCTAGCCTGGCCATGCAGTGTACGAAGGAACAGAAAACATGAACCTGGCCATTACTCTGGCCAGGTTCATGCTTTCCGGAGCATGAATGTAGCACCCGTTGGGCCTGTCGCTTATCCACCAGCTAGCCTGGCCATGCAATGTACAAAGCAACATTGCAGCAGTCAGGTCTGTCCCTTGTCGATCAGCCGGCCTGGTCGTGCAGTGTGCAAAGAGTGAATACACTTGATGCCTGAACTTTGCAGCCTCAAAGTGGACTACTGGAGCTTGAGTGGGAAACAGAAACAAAGATGCAAAACAGATGAAAGAAAACACGCACAGCTCTAAACAACATGGGTCAGTTGTACCAACTGGCCTGGCTCAGTTGATACGCCCCTGAACTGTTGAAGTACAGACCCCAGTTCGAACGCCACTGGAAGCAGATAAGTGAAATACTCCAATTCTGAATTACCTACCGCCGGTCAGTTTGATGATCATATCTCACGGCCGTCGCCCTTTTTTTTCTTTTTTTGCTTCTTTTCTAAATGGTTGAGTATCATTTTTCCTGGGTCACCGTTATGCATCATACCGCACTAAGCTTCAAATATTTCTGAACAAATCTGTGGTCTGAGTAATGTGGTATTCTGTAGTTGTTGGTATCCACAAATCATGGTACACAAGTATAGTTGTTGGTAAATAGGTCATTGGTTCAAATCCTGAATGATGCACATCTGTAGCCATCTGATAAACTGTTCAATAAATACTCCTTCACAGCGGAATAAAGCTTGTCCATGTTTTTTTGCTTGTAGCACTTGCAAATCTTGTTGTTGCCAGTGTGTTTTTGTATCCAGCAGAATTCGAAGTCTTGATCTGTTCATGAACAGTTACACGTGTGTACCGTTCAGCCAGCAGGCAGGTGCTGTAGTTGCAAATGATAATTTGCAAACTGAGTTTCTTTTCTTGGTTGACTACCGTCTTCTCTCAAATAGATTGTACGGTCATAATGGCCGCATGTAGACTAGAAGTTGCCCCAAATGCAGCCAGAATGACTGTATGTTTTATCCGGGGGAAGATGGTAAGTCGTATGATACTGAGATGAATTGCTGGTTGATATATGTTGTGACATTTACTGACCTGTAATTTTTGTAATTGCTTGTCGTCTGTAGACCAAATGGGTCAGGGCAAAAAGGTCTCCGACGTACCATCAATTTCAGCAGGCAAGGAAAACCTCCCCTTTAACTCTGTCTTCTAAATACTTCACTTTAATCCTTCTGTTTTTTTGTTTTTTTTTTCTTTCTCTTGGTTCAGTTTGAATATGGAGCTTCCAAGGAGGACCTGTCATCACCAGAATTGTTTGTGAACAATGCAAAGAGATGTAATGAACCCAGATCGTGAAGACAGTCGTCAACAATGCAAGCCCAGATAAATGTCCATCGGCTGATGATTACTAGTGGTCAAAATCGTAACCAGACAGAATGAGATGAGGTAATCATACACAGACGAAGATAGAGGAGGGGGATGAGACAAAGGAGAGGAAAATACAGTGCACACTCCTGCTTCGGGCTCC